ACATCAAATGCAAAAGCGAAACGGAGCTTACTGTTTTTTCAATAACATTTACTAAAGCTTAACGTTGTATAAGGTATTCAAGTGCAGAAAGTTCAGTACGTAACATTACTCTATACCATAAAATTTCAAAATGTGCAACGTATCGTTTCAAACGTTAATACTTTTGATGAACACTATCGTAACGAAAGCTAAAATCTAGAAAAATCAAAACGTTGACATCTCTATCAGGCAGTTAGTATTAAAGCCCGGCTTTGGGTATGTAGGAAAAGTCAGAAAATTTCAACAGCCTCAGACCAATACTTTTTGAGTTATGTAAAAAAACCTACGGGGGGGGGGTAAAATTGCCCCCCCCCGCAGGAATAGGGTTAACGTTACGTAAACCGGAAAAATTTCCGGTTTACGAAATGGAATTTTACGGTTTATGTTACGTAAACCGGAAAAATTCCGGTTTCCATTTTATCCACGAAATTTCCTAGAATTCCACTTTACAGAACAAATTTCCGGATCATTCCATTTCCAGAATGGAAATTTTTTTTCGGAAAAATGGAAACCCTAATGCGTACATACTATAGTCTGTACACTGTCACGTACAGCATACATACAGACTATAGTCTGTACACTGTCATGTACAGCATGCGTACAGACTATAGTCTGTACACTGCCATGTACAGAATGCGTACAAACTATAGTCTGTACACTGTCATGTACAGCATGCGGACAGACTATAGACGGCAAAACTGACAAATCAAATGAATCATCTTCTTCTCGTGGGATATACCGGACAAAAGTCTGGTAGGTGGGAAGGTACCTAAATGCATAACTAGCCAACTAGCACAACTATAGATACTATTATTATTGTATATTTTATTCCAATAAATAAAAACATTGCCGAATATAAAGTGTATGTGAACCCCGCTAGATGGTATGCGGGACTGAAGTATATTCTCCAACTCCTTCTTTAAGTACAGTTCAGATATTCTTCCTGGTATAAACTCGGTTCCTTCTTCATCTATGCATTATTGAACTTGGTTCATACAGGGGTTCATGTCCATTAATAGATTAACAGGGCCTATTCACAACAGTGCCTTTAACCCCCATTTCTGAGTTGTAATGAGGAAGATATAATTTTGCTACAGTCGTCTTTGTATATACCAATACAATAAAGACGACTTTCGATATAAATTTTTTACAGCATGGAAACAAAGAGGAGTTGTCAATTAACATCTTTCTTTGTTTTCTTGTAAACTTGTAATTTGAAAAATGCTTGTTAGAAATCAAAACCTAAATATAAAAGTCGTCTTCATAGTATTGGTATTATACGACGACCACTGTATGCTAATACGTGTTATGTTCTCACAATTTCCTTTTTTATCTCTGGAGCACAAATCTGAAATTATTTTTTAGGAGAAATTTCAAGAAAATAATTTATTTTTGGCCAGTAAAATAATGATTTCTCATTCATAATTGATGAGGCAAAGGCTGAAAGGTAACTGTTGTGAATCGGGCATGCCAGTTATAAATGAAAAATCACTTGAAAATTTAATTTACGTCTTATATTCCCTTATTAAGTTGTCTAAAAGTATTCAATTGTATATTATTATTTTACTTTCTCTAAAATATAGGAAATTGTGATCATTAATTATTATTGAATTGTTATCATCACCTATGAGATCAGTGATGGAGGGAGGGCAATACTCTTGTTGAAGTTTATGAAGGGAGGGCAATACTCTTGTTGAGGTTTAGGTGTAAACGGAAGATGTATAAACGAAACTGTTGCATCATCTCGTCTTGCTACTTTTAAAACAGGTGAACCATCTTCTTAGGTTTTTCATAGAGTTTTCTATTTTTCCCGTTCAGTTCAACTCCCATGGGACAGTTCAACTCCCACTAGTGTTATCAATGTTATGACACTTGCCGATGTTTGTTAATATATTTAGATTGGAAAAATAACATTTGTTTTCCCCCTTCAAAATACATCTTAGAACTTAATTTGCATTTATTTATGTAAAATAATAATTCTAAATATTTCTTCATTGTTTTATTTTGTGTCTAAAATTGTGTTGAATTGAATTGAAACTGTTGCAAAGGGGTTGAACTGGTTCAGAGCCCGCAATTTAAAAGCTCGGCTCGGGTCGTAATTCTTCAAGCCCAGCTTTAAAACCCAATTTAAGACCCAACTCTGACAAAAGCTTGTGTCACGTGATTGACAGCTTCGAGATTTTAGTAACTTAGTAAAAACTTTCGAAAAATTTTAAACTGTATTCTATCTATAAACCCACAGCGATCCATCTGTTGCAAGCTCTGATGGAAAAATCGGTGTCAGTTTTGCCAACTTCTACTTAAAATAAAATTGTAAAGAACAATTTCTTTATCTATGATTTACAAGCCCAAGACTACCAAAAAAAGTATAAATAAGTTCTTGGGGTGAAATAAAAGGCCAATTCATTGCGTTGCGACACTTTAAAGTTGAACCAGTCTTGGAAATGTATGTAACTTATCATAGCTGTCTAGAGATACGTCCTAGTACAACACAGAGTGACAGATGATGAAAAAAGTTTTAAAGGGATATTTAATGTTTTTCATGTTTATATGGAAATCCAACGTAAATCTATGTTTAAAGGGATATTTAATGTTTTTCATGTTTATATGGAAATCCAACGTAAATCAATGTTTAAAGGGATATTTAATGTTTTTTCATGTTTATATGGAAATCCAACGTAAATCGATGTTTAAAGGGATATTTACAATATTTTTATGACTAGATATATTATTGTTGACTTTAAAAGTCACTATATTAAAACAAAGAGATCTGAAATGGATATTTCTTAACATTTATTTAAAAAAACAAAATTATTTTGAAATATTTGCATAAGACAGGGTTAAAATTGGTTGGTTTAGAAATTAACAAAGAAAATTATTGACGAACAGCAGTAGCAACATCATGGGAGTTTTATAGAACTTCATGTTGGTGGTGCAGATCGACAGGAACTGGAACAACAGGTTTCCGCTCACCCCAGGCTTTGGATAAGGAGGGGGAGAGGTCGTGGTTTTATCATGCTGGATTTGAGCGATTATGTAGTCAGTCTCTGGAATGCATGATAATTTTGGAACTCTTGGAACATAATTGGGCTGGATGTAAGCATCGCCTGTTGCTAGCTAGGTATCTGTATCATCATCATGAAGGAGCCAGGATTGCTCCCTGAGACAGAGTTGTGATCATCTCAAGTGTTTCAATCTGACTGAGGGGCCGGGAGGTGTAGAGGGGTGGGGGCGGAAGAGCAAGGGTGACATGTGGGCGGAAAAGGATTCACACGTCTTGAAACAAGCAACGGCATCAGAGTCAGTAAAATCGTCTTCCTTATATTTCGAATTTGTGTTAACAATTATATAGCTCTTACAGGGATATTTAACATTATTTTCATGCTTAAAGGGATAATCAACGTTATTTCAGGAAATGTGCCTGCTCAGCTAGATGATGAACTAAAGAACCAGCAAAGTGCTCAACTCTGTAATAGGGTTAGAACCAAGGCTGATGAACCAAACTTCTGCAGGTATTCCCGTGTTAATGCCATTGTTAAAATATTTCACAGTAATGCCGTGATTACAATATTTCTGCAGGTATCGGTTAAAGTATTTCTGCGCTTATGCAGTGGTAAAAATATTTCTGCAGTAATGCCGTCGTTACAATAATTCTGCAGGTATTTCTGCTTAATGCAGCGGTTAAAGTATTTATGCGCTTATGCAGTGGTGAAAATAATTCTGCAGGAATTTCTGCTCTAATGCCTTGGTTAAACTATTTCTGTGCTAATTCCATGGTTAAAATAATTCTGAGCTAATGCCGCGGTTAAAATGTTAGAAACAAGGCTGATGAACCAAACTTCTTCAAGCATTTCCGCGCTAATGCCGCGGTTTAAATATTTCTGCAGTAATGCCGTGGTTACAATATTTCTGCAGGTATTTCTGCTTTAATGCCGCGGTTAAAGCATTTCTGAGCTAATGCAGTGGTGAAAATAATTCTGCAGGTATTTCTGCTCTAATGCCGCAGTTAAACAAATTTTTCTCTGCTAATGACGTGGTTAAAATATTTCTGCGCTAATGCCACTGTTAAACTATTTCTGCTTAGGAAACATTTTAACCAACTATATATGCCGATGGCGAACATGTCGGGTAAATAATTCTGGACTTTATATGTTCAACATCAATTTTTCGATTAAATTAATGTCGCAGGGTGGTTAATATAATTCTGCGCTAATGCCGCAGTTAAAATATTTCTGGGCTAATGTCGTAGTAAAAACATTTCTGTGCCAATGCTGTGGTTAACATATTTCTGTGCTAGTTCTGCAGTTAATATATTTCTGCGTTAATGCCATGGTTAAAATATTTTTACTGGTATTTCTGTGCTAATGTTGTGGTTAAAATAGTTTTACGCTAATGTTGCGGCTAAATATTTCTGCTCTACCATAATTAAAATATTTCTACGCTAATGCTGCGGCTAAATATTTCTGCGCTACCATAAATAAAATATTTCTGTGTTGATGCTGCGGCTAAAATATTTCTGCGTACAATAATTAAAAAATTTCTGTGCTAATGCATTGGTTAAAATATTTCTTCAGGTATTTTTGTGCTAATGCTATGGTTAACATTTGTCTGTGCTAACTGCATAATGCCGTGGTTGAAATATTTCAGTGCTAATGCCGTGGTTAAAATAATTCTGACGGTATTTCTGTCTATCCATCTATCTATCTATCTATCTATTATAGTTTATATCTATACGTTAATCTATATGTCTATCAATCTATCTATCTATCTATCTATCTGTATATCAATATCTATTTATAGTATATATCTATAATATACGTTAGTCTATCTGTCTATCTATCTATCTATCTATCTATCTATATATCAAACTATTGATGGTATATATCTATATATACGTTAATCTATCTGTCTATCTATTTATAGTATTTATCTATATACGTTAATCTATCTGTCTATCTTTTTATCTATCTATTTATCTGTATATCAATCTATTTATAGTATATATCTATATACGTTAATCTATCTTTCTATCTATTTATCTATCTATCTAGCTGTATACAAATCTATTTATAGTATATATCTATATACGTTAATCTATCTGTCTATCTATTTATCTATCTATCTATCTGTATACAAATCTATTTATAGTATATATCTATATACGTTAATCTATCTTTCTATCTATTTATCTATCTATCTAGCTGTATATCAATCTATTTATAGTATATATCTATATACTATCTGTCTAGATGTGTGACCGGAGTTCTCGAGAAAGATTTTAGGGGACAAGTGAAGGGAGGTTGCACTAAACCATCCAGGTATTTCTAATGTGTATTTTGCATCATCCATCTATATAATAAAACAAGACATTTGTANCGGGGGGGGGGGTTGTTATAGGCAAAAAACGATTTTTTTCTGAAAATTATTTTATTTTTTATTTATTTTTTAAAATTTTTCTTTTCCACGGGCAACGCCAGGCCCTTCAGCTAGTCTCTAATAATATTAAACGGGAGCTTATAAATAGAAACCCATTTACTCTAAACATTGCAAAACTCAGTAAACAGTCGATTTATACTTTTTAAGTTCTGGGGTTTTAGGGTTACAAAAAAGAACAATTGAATGTCTTCGGAGTTGAACATTTTTGAACATTTTTGATTATGAAAAATTTTCTATTAAATGTTTGTTTAGTGGAGACGGAGGTTTTAATGATGATCTAAGTGAAGGATATTGCTTCCTAGAGAATATCCAGGTATAGTTATGTATTCCGAAACTTTTGAATTGGATAAGTTTAGCTACAGTGACTTAACTCGATATCTAAAGCAACAACTTTTAAATCGTTTTAAATCAATTCACATCGCTCAGTTGTCCAACGTTTAAGGTTGAACCGCTGAGGGGGAAAGAACCGTCCCAGGTTTAAAAGGACTGTTAGCGTAATTTAAAGTGACCTATTCATACAAAAATGGAATGTTCATTCACATCGGTACCATTAAAAGTTTTTTTTGCTCAAGTACGAATTAGATATTCATGTTTTTGTTTCTTTAAACTGTTTATTTTCATTGTGGTTTCTTTGCGAAAGAGACTTGCGCATTCCTTGCTTTTAAGAAGCAATGGAGAAGTTAACAAATGAAACACTTTCCGAGTCAGAAAAACGAGAGTACATTATTGATCAGATTTCAGGTTTCAAAGCTACTTCAGAACCCTAGTGCTAACTGCTGGGATGACACTGCCTGGTCTCCTGTAGACGGAAGGTAAATATCTAAAGAGATTGTTCAACAAAGTTTAAATAATAAATGGGATTAATATCAAAGGAATTGAGATTTTGCCACAACCTCAAATTTTCTAATTTCTATATCTCTGCAACCAGTGGGTATAAACCTTTGATATTTCAAACTTAGGTTATTTGATCTTACAGAATTAATAGTTTGAAATATCTAAGGTCTACGACATTGGGTGGCCAAGATATAGGGATAAGAATATTTGAGTTTGTGGCAAAGACTCAGTTCCTTTTGAATATTTCATGGGATTTTTCATCATTTATAGGTAGTGTTAATTAAATTTTAAATAATTAATGGGATTGTTCACCAAATTTTAAATTATTAAAAAATGTAAAATCAAAAATAATTTTGTAAATAATCTTTTTTAAGGTTTTATTCCAACCAGGCGTGTATTGATAAAAGAGAAGAGGAAGGGTTGAACAATAGATTTTCATAAATATAATTAAAAAGTACAGATCAATAAGTATGCGACTTGAATGACGACTTTTACTCGTCTTTTCCTTTTTACTACGCAGTGGTACTCCGTAAATCTCATCGTACAATTACTCCAATGATTTCCATTATGTGTGCATTTTTTGTCTAAATATTTGCAATGATTTGATCATTGCAAATATTTTCTTGACTTCCAAAATTAGTGTTAAAGAAGATTTGAAATTTTTTATTTTAAACCCATGTTTATTGGAAAACCTTGCCCGAAACTTCACATGTACACTGATAGAATATTAAACAAACATTTTGTTCGAAATAACAAACATTTAAAAAAAACTACAAACATTTTGTTCAAAATTGAAACATTTTGTTCAAAATAACAAACATTTTTGTTCAAAATAACAAACATTTTGTTTTAAATTAAAATATTTTGTTTTAAATTAAAATATTTTGTTCAAAATAACAAACATTTTGTACAAAATTGAAACATTTTGTTCAAAATTGAAACATTTTGTTCAAAATTAAAACATTTTATTTAAAATTGAAACATGTTGTTCAAAATTGAAACATTTTGTTCAAAATTGAAACATTTTATTTAAAATTGAAATATTTTGTTCAAAATTGAAAATTTTGTTCAAAATTAATATTGGGTATTAATTGAAACATTTAGTTCGAAATTGAAATTATTTTTCCAAATTACAAACAAAATATTAGTTTTTTTACAGTTAAGCTAAAAATAGCAACTTTGCCGAGAAGAATCTAATCTAATAAATGAATAGAAAACTTTAAAATATATTTTTCTTTAAAATTAATTTCAACCCTTGGTTAGGGAGAACAGAACAGAAGAGACTCTCTTATCTTCAATAATTAATTAATTAATTAAGTAATTNATATTGGATATATTGGATATATTTAGTTAACTTTTAATTGTATAAGATCTAATTCAAGAATAAAAATTAATCAATGTTTATTAGATTCTCTTTAGAAGATACAAAACTAAACGAAACTGTACTCTCGATGCAAGGTTGGAAATGCCCAATTCACAACGGTACCCTTAACATTGCTTTTTTAAACAAGTATGTATTAGATATCAATATTTATAAGACTGAAATCTTATTTTTTTAAATTGTGAGTTCTTTACAAAAGTGACTTGCGCATTTCTTTGCAGGAAAACAAATCATCTGAAAAAATGACAATATCTTCCACAGATAAAGGTTTAAAGTGTACTGTAGTGAATCGGGCATTTTCATTTTATATTAAGGATTTTACTGTTTTCTTAAGTACATATCCCCCAAAATTTCACCCCAAAAAGAGAATTTTAAGATTTTAAGGTTTTCTTAGACGATACTTCATTTGAATAAGATGCTTTCCTTAACTGTCTTATGTACGCATGTATTCAGAATAGGTTATTGTATACAAATGGAGTACGTTTTGCAAAGCATGTATAAATCATATGGTAGGGCGGGCCGGGTCGATTCTTTCTCCATTACATTCCATACTCCTTGGTTCTAACAGTACCTGCACTGATAATTACGAAAAGAACCATTTTCCTCGCATTCTGGCCGATCAGCTGTTGCAGAAATTGCAGATCTAACCTAAGATGGAAACTTTTAAATTTAAATTAAATTTGGAACATCTACAAATATTATTAAAGGGACTGTAGGCGTAATTTCAAGTGACCAAGATGACAATGCCTGATTTACAACGGTAACCTTGAAAGCTTTGTCTGATCAAGTATGTTTTGGTTTCTTTAAACTACTTATTTTCATTTGCGGTTTCTCTTCAAAAGTGACTTGCGAGTATTCTGCTTACAATAGATAATGGAGAACTTATCAGAATTAAACCCTTTTTTAGTTAGAAAAACGACGTTATCCTTCACATTTTTGATCAGTTTTCAAGGGTAGGGTACTTTTGTAAATCGGGCATGACCAGATGAATTCTGTGAAAATAGCTTGAAATATCCGACTGTCATACGCACATGACACGGGCAGCCGTAGTACATTTAAATTTCCGAGCCGGGTCAATCTTTCCGATCCCAGTTTGTACTGTACCTAGCTCTATGGACAGAACTAGCTGGTGCAACAAAGTTGACGCGGCATGCTTCATATAGGTTGAATTTACTTTTACTAAAGAGGCAGAGGTGCGTGATGATAGCGACGACTTGAAGATCTTTAAAATAATTCGTTTATTAACCTAATTTTACGGTTTTACGATTCTTGGAATGATAATCACAAAATGCCCCTAGTCCAACTATAGTCTACCTTTTCTTATTCTCACAAAACTAGTTAAAATAGGAAGAATTTCTTTAACAATTTTTTAAATGTTTTAAAATCTGAACGAAGTTTGATTTCATGTGAGAAGTTTTCTTTTATAAAATTTAATATAAAATTTTGTTTTGTATTTGAACAAAAATTCAAAGTTTCATTTATTTATTATATAGATTACCCCCAAAATCATTAAAGAATTCACATTACATATTATTTCCTTGTATTTGAAAATAAATAGGAAAAAGTTCACCTGTACAATGTGCATATACAACATTCCTCGTACGAATCTGTTCACAGATAGAAGACGAATCTGTTCACAGAGAGAAGACGACAATGTTCACAGATAGAAGACGACAATGTTCACAGATAGAAGACGATAATGTTCACAGATAGAAGACGATAATGTTCACAGATAGAAGACGACATGTTCACAGATAGAAGTAGACAATGTTCACAGATAGAAGACGACAATTTATTAATTCAAAATTTAAGAGGCAATACCTGGGCACACATACAATCCATATCTTCATATGTTCCTGCAAACCCTTCTATCTGTTCCCCAGATAGATCACTGCAATATCCTACAACATAAATATTGTCGGAGTAAATGCATATTTTTTGAAATCCTTATATCTTTGCTATCTGATATTTTTACTTTATGCGGCAAGACAGTGCCCGGCCCATCATAGGCTTAATTGACCTACATTTTTGCACAAAACGCATCTACTTCACATCAGGTGGTAGACGGGGTGGTACGATTAAACCTCAGACTGATTTGGATCATGCAACGGTTGGAGGGGCAGTACTTGCCTCGCGTCTCTAACGCCGGTACAAGTTTAAAATGACCCTAGTCCACCGTGGTAGCGCTCTCAATACCAACAAATTTATTTACCTAGAGTTGGATTTGTTTTATTTGGTTGAACTAAAGCATAGAATCCGTCAGGGGAGCATACGCCCAGCCATTCAGAGCTCAGGTACAAGTAATCAGCATTTATCCTGGACAAAAATCAATCAATCAATCAATCAATTGTTCATTCAGTCAGTTCGCCAAATGTGGTAATTCTTGTATTGTGGAGATCGAGACTAATGCTTTATTTCTATCTTTTGTTAATCTGCAGATTAATTTAATCTTTATTCGATATCCCGCATGGTAGTCATGGGTTGAATGGAGTTTTGATGAGGGGAGGAATAACTAAAATGAGGAAATTTAGCATTATCCTCCAATTAAAAGTGCCCGCTGGGGTCGATATCGAGATCAAGTGGTCGGGATTATGAGTATCCAAAAGTTCCCAGCTCAGGTCGAATTCTGTCTGCGGTCAGCTTATTCGATATATTAGGATTTATTATAACAGTTAAGAGAAAGACTGCCAGGAAGAGAAGAGACTGGAACTTTTGAAATTTAAAGAAATCCAAAGGTTGAAACTTTTGTGTAGGATAGCGCTAATTTACACATCTTGATTTTGATATCCACTGTAGTCGCTTTTTGATTTTGTCTAGTTATCCAAACTGGGTACATACTACAGAATATTCTTAGGATCACAAAATATGCAGATTACTGCTTAATCCATGGATTAACAAGATAAAAGTTTCAATTGCTTAGGTCCGGTTTAATTTAATCATAGATAAAGATAGNGAAACAGATCAAATTCAACCTTCATATCGCTATAAATTAGGATTTTTAGGTCTTCATTAAAGCCTCATCCTTTGTGGGTAACCCTGTAAAAATCAGATTTTATAAGGGAAAGCTATTTATTCCCGGTCTAACATCATTTTTCAAATTTAAAATTTTTTTTTTCAAAAAAAGGTTGAATCTTATAAAATAATATTCCTGTAATAGTTTTCAACATGTAGAGAATCCTCGAAATGACATGGTAGAACCAGATGGGCAACATCTAGCAACCAAACCAAACCTTAATCTCAAATATATTCAAGGTGGGGGAGGGGGGGCAGTGCCACACCCTAGACTTCTAAAGAGGTAAGAGGGTGTAGAAATCTTAATTTATTAGTAATATTTTGCAAACAATCTCAAATATATTCAAGGTGGGAGGGGGGGGGGGAGAAATGAATTTTAAAAGGATAAAAAAACAAAGAAATGGTTGAATTATTTAGGAGTTTAATCATTAACTTCCTAAAGAACATCTTTAATTAAAGAATAATTTTCAGTTTTGATGAATAAATGTAAAGAATCAAAATGGCCGACTAGATTGGTTTGGTTTGGTTTGAAATGCAACCTATGGCCACCACGCTGCTGTTAAGATTAAGGTTGTTATCCATACAGAAGCAGACATCTCCGTACTCAGAGTCGTCTTCACCCTGCAGCAGGAGGGAGGGAGTGCAACCACTCCAATTTGTAATCCCCTCCACCCAAGTTGGTTATATTCCCCCCTCGCAGCAGACATATTAAAAGACAAATTACACTAAAAAACGCCAAGATCGAGCAGTTATTCCTATCTTAGGCAGCTCTACGGATACAATTATTTCCAGTTGGATATCTTATTACCCTTGTTTCAATGTAAGTACAGAATTTCAGTTAGTTTTTGCCACTAATTTACATGTGGGTCTTTAAATGGATTTTCAGATTTTAAAATATTGTTTTTTTTTTAACAAACTAAATTTTTGAAAATGAATAAAAATGTCGTGAAAAAGGGTGACGTTCAGATAAAAAAACGATCAATGGACGAATGAAATGGATCGTTCTGGGAAATGAAAAAATGATCGAACAAAAAAAAATTGAAAAAACGAAAGTTTTTTACTGCACGAACGAATTTTCCAAAAGATCAAATGATTTTTTAATAAACCATTTTAGTGCAGAACTAACGATCATTTCTTTTAGACCGTTTGAAAAGAAAACTAACTAGGTCGTTCGTGAACGATGAACGGCCCATCTCTACATGTGAGTGAGCTCTGACTGGATAAAACGATACCGAAAAGTTGAAAAAATGGTGTCACGAGGCCGAGGGTCATGTACTCGGATATCTAATAATGAGGAATTATGAGTACTTATTTCTCAAAGTTTTCACAATGAATATAGAGTTCAAACGTTGGTGTTTTGACCTCAGAGCGTCATTAGTGGCTTGACTATAATTTTTAAGCTTCAAACAAAAAATGTTACTTAATGATTGGACGTTTTTTGCAAATTGTTATTGTTCCTAATTTAATTAAAACTTAACATGATGATGTAAACTATAAAACAAATAATAATGGGTATTATACGTATAATAACTCCCGATGAAATTTAATTTGAATTTTAAAAGATTCACAGCGGTACCCTTTAAACCTTTATCATAGTATAACAAAAAAGAAGATCTTGAAAAACCCTCAATTCAAGGCAGGCAAACGAGAATA